AATTGAAGTTCGTTATAGGAACTACAGTCTGTGAAAGAAAATTGCCTATGAAGGTTCAGGTCTTCGTATAGGCCCCATATATCAGTACCTCCCTATATTCAGTAGGTACAATACCCACCGAAATTTTTTGAGATGTCGTATTTGACGTTCGTAATGGATGCTATAGCCTGTGACAGAAAATTGTCTATGCAGGTACAGGTCTTCGTATAGGTCTCATATATCAGTACCTCCCTAAATACTGATATTTTGATCCTCCCTATATACTACATTATTCACCGTTTATTTCAAGTTTCGAATTTGAATATGGTAATGGCTTATGACAAACAAGGCCTATGTAGGTCCACGTCGTATAGACCCCAATATAATGGCTATATTCGGTATTTTTAAAATTTTAAAAGAATTTTTTAAGGACTTTATTTTTTGAAAATTTCCAAATTCGTTCCAAATGGTGGAGGGTATTCAAAGTTCGGCCCGGCCGAACTTACTGCTTTTTAACTTGTTAATTTTTTTGAATGAAAGCAAAAAATGTTGGAATTTGTTCGAATTGGTTACCTTTGGCACGAATTATGGCCTTCAAAGGGCAATGAAACCGTCACACGCTGCTTGAATGTGCTCTGAGGTATTTTGCCTTATTCCCGGCGAAGCGTTTGCTTGAGGTGATCGACACTTTGGTATTTTTTTGCGCCAACAGTGCTTTCCAAAATACTCCAGACACAATAGTCCAACGGATTGGTATCCGAAGACTTTGTGCGCTGAAAATAAAGCGAGGAACCTCAATTTGTTACCATTACTGGGTGGCGCGTGCTGAGTGCGATGGTGCTCAGTCCTGTTGGAATGTCCAAGGTCTGCGGCCAAAATTTTTGCGAGCCAAAGGCTATAATACACCCTCTAGAATATTTTCGCCATAATATTCGGCATTTATTCTGATGCCACGGCCGATTAATACGAGTGGAGAGCGACCATCGGTTGTTATGGCGGCCCACAGCATCACTATCACCATGCCCGGTGCTTGAGTTCTGGTGGCCAACCGAAGGTGCCATTTTCTGCTGACCTCTTGGTAAGTCAACACGATCATTTTGTTTGTTTACAAACTTGCTGGACAACGAATGTTTTCTCATCGGAGAAAACCAAATTCGGCAGTTCACCACTTTTTATACCCTACACCACAAGGTGGTCAGGGTATTATGTCTTTGTGCATTTGTTTGTAACAGGCAAAAGGAATCACTTTCTGAGTTGATTTATGCATGTCAGTCCGTCTGTCCGTCCGTCCGTCTGTCCATGTATTTTTGTAAACAAAGTACAGGTCGTATTTATTGCCCGATCCAGATGAAATTTTGCACAAATCATTTGTTTGGCCCAAGGACGAACCCTATTGGAGATAATCGGTCAAAATTTAGATATAGCTCCCATGTATATCTTCGTCCGATTTGCCTTTTATTGTGCACCAAACGTGTAATATCAGCCCGAATATTATGGAATTTTGCACATGCAACCAAATTAGGCCTAAAAATAAGCATGCCAAATTTGATGGAAATCGATTCAGATATAGCTATAGCTCCCATATATAATGTTCATCCGATTTGTTATATTTGTCCTCCGCAGCCGTCATATGCACTCTGTAACAACAATATTTGAGGAAATATATCAAATGCAGCTCAGGAATACCTTTGCTAAATTTTATCGAGATCGGTTCAGATTTGGATATAGCTCCCATATATAACTTCGTCCGATTTACCTTTTATTGTGCACCAAACGTCTAATATTTGCCCAAATGGGATGGAATTTGGCACTTACGACCGAATTGAGTCTAGAAGCTAGTATGCAAAATTTGGTGAAGATCGGTTCAGATATAGCTATAGCTCCCATATATATTGTTCATCCGATTTGTTATATTTGTTACTCACAGCCGTAATATGCACTCCGTAACAACGATATTCAGGGAAATATATCAAATACAGCTCAGAAATATCTTTGCCAAATTTTATCGAGATCGGTTCAGATTTGGATTTAGCTCCCATGTATATCTTTATCTGATTTAGAATTAATTTTGCACCAAATGGGCAATACATGTCCGAATTTAAAAGATACAAATGCTTCGGGGTATTTAGTCCTTTAAGTTTTAAATTATTATTATAATCATAGGGTGTATGATTGAATCCTCCCATAAAAACTTTTACTTTTTATGTGGAGCTCAACTAAATTAGCAAAGTGATGTAGGGTATCATAAAATCGGCCCGCCCGACTTTAGGACTTTCTTTTCTGGTTTTTCTGTTGCGGTGTAAGTTCTTGAATTTTTTTGGAATTTCAATGGCTTTACCCCGAGCTCATGTTTCAATATTTGCGAATGGAATATTGCGATATGTTCAGCTCACGAGCCATTTTTCGGCCACTGCGACGCGGGTTTCGATCAAGTCGCTTCTTTTATTTTTCGAACCATTTCTGCTGATGTTGCTGTTTTTTTTTTCGTCCACTTCCTTGACGTCGGGCTACGCTACCAGTATCACCTTAACGAGCGATGTGAAATTTATTCACATTTAAATGCTGGAGTGCTCCAACGATAGCCACCTGTGGTTTTCCAGGCAAATATAAAGAAATCACACTATCACGCTTGAATTCCATTACGAATAACTTTTTTCTGTAAAATTTTCTCCAAAATGCTTTTGTACGCTTGTAAACAATATAATAAGATGTCACTGGAATAATTTTTAACAGCTGTTGGGCAAGTGGCTTAGAAATGTCAGCGGTTGTAGTTGGTTGTAGTTTTCTCATCTCACCCTGTAAGCTTTCAAAATGCCAAGTGTCTTCTCCTTTTAGCTCTACTTTCATTACAATCAGAATTTTTTTTTTGTAATTAAATTTTGTGTTACACAGTGTCATTAGAGATACCATGGAATAAATTTTTAATACTGAAACTGATTTTGGGTGAGAATTCAAGATAATTAATTTAATGATTACTTATTCAAATAATTTTCAAATTTTAAATTTTTAAATGGATAATTTCAATTTTCTTCACACAAATAAAAAAAACATAAGTTAATCTTCGGTGAATTGTTTGCCTCATTTGTTTTCCTTTTCCGGCACCACAAATCAATTGGTGCAGAAAATCCCCGGAAATCTTTTCATATTGTATTGTTTTAGAGATTTCGCCGTTGCCGTTGTTCCAATGCGATTATTTAATAAAATTAAACGAAATTTTCACATCTATTCGTTCAGTCATGCTTAACAGAGATATAAAGCTATCATATCCGCTAACTAAAAAATCTTCAGAAAAAAGCAAAAAAAAAAAAAAGAAAATAGTAAAACAAAAATCCTTTGTAGTAAAACAACACCAGAGAAACAAATTCATGTGCCCACCAAAAAAGAACTCGGAGACAGCAACCAACCAGCCAGCCAGCGAACAAGCCAACCAACCAACTAACGGTTCAGTGAATTGATAAAATTTATGTACTGGAAATAAATGGCTAAGTCAAAACGTATCAATGTTTTGTTTGCTAAATGAAAATTACACCTAGTCGGCGATGATGATGATGGGGGAGGGCAGCAGAATCCGGAAGAGTAAATCACTGTAGAGAATTTGGTAATACCCCCTCTATGGCATGTTGGTGGTGCCCGGTGTTCTGTTTTCCAAACATGGCAAGTCGTATTAACATCTCAGATTAATAGAAACAAAGACAAACAAATGAGATGAGGAAAAATGTTGTAGCGGATGTCAGTGTTGCCATACGCATTGCAATTTTTCATTAAATTAAAAAATTAAAATATCTCGACAATTGGTCTTAATAAAGTTCAGCCAGTATAAAAATTAAAAACCAGTAAAGAAAGTCCTAAAGTCGGGCGGGGACGATTTTATGATACCCTACACCACTTTGCTAATTTAGTTGAGCTCCACATAACAATTAAAAGTTTTTTTGGGAGAACTCAATCATACACGCTATGATTATAATTATAATTTAAAATTCAAAGGACTAAATATGCCCAAGCATTTGAATCTTTTAAATTCGGACTTGTATTGCCCATTTGGTGCAAAGTTAATTTGAAATCAGATAAATATATGTATGGGAGCTATATCCAAATCTGAACCGATCTCGATAAAATTTAGCAAAGGTATTTCTGAGCTGTATTTGATATACTTCCCTGAATATCGTTGTTACGGAGTGCATATTACGGCTGTGGGTAACAAATATAACAAATCGGATGAACAGTATATATGGGAGCTATATCTGAACCGATCTTCATCAAATCTGACATACTAGCTTCTAGACTCTATTTGGTCGTAAGTGCCAAATTTCATCCCATTTGGGCAAATATTAGACGTTTGGTGCACAATCAAAGGTAAATCGGACGAAGTTATTTATGGGAGCTATATCCAAAACTGAACCGATCTCGATAAAATTTAGCAATTGTATTTCTGAGCTGTATTTGATATATTTCTCCAAATATTGTTGTTACAGAGTGCATATTATGGCTGCGGAGGACAAAAATAACAAATCGGATGAACAATATACATTGAAGCTATAGCTATAACTGAACCGATTTCGATCAAATTTGGCGTACTTATTTTCAGGTCCAATCAGATCGTACTTGCAAAATTCCATACTGATATTACACGTTTGGTGCACAAAAAAATGCAAATCGGGAACTATATCTAAATTTTGACCGATTATCTCCAATTTCAATAGGGTTCGTCTTTGGGCCAAACAATCATTTGTGGATAGGGCAATAAATGCGAACTGTACTTTGTTTACAAAAATATATGGACAGACGGACGGACGGACATGCATAAATCGACTCAGAATGTGATTCTATGCAGATCATCAAAAGTAACTATGGGTCTATCTCGTTTCCTCTTGCCTGTTACAAACAAATGCACTAAGACATAATACCCTGACCACCTTGTGGTGTAGGGTATATAAATCAAAAGTTTCATCAAAATGTTGTTCAGAAACGTCTCCAAATGGCAACTCGAAAATATTTAAATTGTGTCATTTTTTATTTTATTTGTATTTAACAAATTTTACCGCCGAATAAAAAATATCCACCAGCTAAAGGAAGTGACATCCAGTTTTATTTATTTAAAATGCCATAACAACAAACACCAATAAATTGAGATTTTCGCCAAAAGAGGAAGGATCGTCGAAAGAAGCAACGAAAAGAAATGGGAAGTAAAACATATACATATGTAGGTATGTATGTATGTGTGTGTGTGCTTAAGCCGCAAACCGCATTGTTTAACCACCACTGTGAGATAGTTTATCATCCCACGCATTTGTTTTAAGTCATTCAGGCGACTATGGGTAAAATAAGAGGTTTGTATAAATTCATTGGAAGTAAAGTCAATGGTGACAAATGGAGAAAATTTAAATCTTTGTAGGGCTATAAAATGAATTATAAAATAATTGATTTTAAAATATTGAAAATTAGACAATAACATCACCAGAAGAAAGAACCCATTTGTCGTCAAAATTCAAATGGACGAGATGTTGGTGAGATGTCCGGGGTCACAAGAAATCTGAATTGGGTGAACTAGCTAACGGTTAATTTTTTCAAATATAGTGATATTTCAAATGATTTTGAAATTTTGTAGCCGAATTGACTGTAATTTTGATATGTTGGATTCTTATAGTACGTTTATATATATGAGGGTTAACCCACTGGATTTGGATTTAAATTCAAATAAATCCTCTCAAAGTAGGTTAACCCTACAAAAAGTTCTAACGTAAACATGGCATTAAAAATCTTATTCATCTTAACCCCTCTTTCAGATTCCTTACGACACTGGACATTAAGTATTTTAAATGGGAATATATGAAATATTTGAGAACTAAAGATATCAAATAGCAGTTGATTACCTTGGAAACTTTTGTGAAAACCTCGAAAATCAAGTATCAAGTGTATCGGATCGGTTCAAAAAAACAGTTCAACATAAATTACAAATTTCAGGTATGCAAAATCAAATCGTATGCGATCATATAGGCTTATAGCAAAATATAGGTCTAGATAAAAATATAGGTCTAAAAAGAAACTTAAAATCGAATCGCATTATTATAAAGAAGCTATACCCAACCTTAGTTCAATTTAGCCTTTCTTCGAAACAAGAGACAATTATAACCGTTTTATAGATATGGCTAGTACCTATTGCCGGGATGTACTCTTTACGTAGACCTATATCAATTATTTGTTCAATAGTTTTCGTAGTTTTCTTTATTTGTAAAATATAACCATACTATTTGAATTCGCATCCAAATTTTCAGCGCTCTAACTCCTAACGATAACTCGATATTCCCACGTATAATATTAAATACCTTTTAGTACTTTTCATAACCTCAGTATGAAATTTTCTGCCTGTCTAGCGTCTGTCTGTCTGTGGAAATCTCCTTCCGCTTCCGAAGATAATGAAGTTTTACTCAGAAGTGTGCAGGACTCTTGGTATTGAAAATGGGCTATATAGGTCCACGTTTTGGTATAGCCCCCATATAACGGTACTTTCCTATATTCGGTATTTTGATGATTTTAGCAATTTAGCATTCTTAATGGGTACATCAAGCCATAACAGAAATACAGGTCCACGTTTTCGTATAGCCCCCATATAACGGTACCTTTCTAAACTCGGTATTTTTATGATTTTAGCGACATTATTCATCGGAATCGTTCAAAATTTCGTATGTGAAGTTCCTAACGGGTACTACAGTCTGTGACGGAAAATTGCCTATGCAGGTCCACGTGTGTGTATAGCCCCCATATGACGGTACTTTCCTAAATTCGGTATTTTTATGATTTTAGTGGCATTATTCATAGAATTATTTCAAATTTCGTATTTGAAGTTCTTAATGGGCAGTATAGCCTGTGACAGAAAACAGTCTATTCAGCTCCCCGTCTTCGTATAGACCCCAATATAATAGTAACTCCATATATTCCGCATTTTTATGATTTATAACAGCACTTTTCAAGGTATTTTTTTATACCCTCCACCAAAAAAAGTATGGAGGGTATATTAAGTTCGTCATTCCGTTTGTAACTCATCGAAATAATCATATTAGACCCAACAAAGTATATATATTCTTGATCAGCGTAAAATTCTAAGACGATTTAGCCCTGTCCGTCCGTCTGTTGTAATCACGCTACAGTCTAAACGAATTAAGATAGGAAGCTAACATTTTGCACAGATCTCTCTTTTGTCTGCAGGCAGGTCAAGTTCGAAGATGGTCGTATAGCCCCCATATAACGGTACTCCGATATTCGGTATTTTGATGATTTTACCTACATTTTCCAATGGAATTGTCTGAAAATCCACACAAGTAGTTCCTTGTGGGTACTTTATACCTCGGCAGAGAATTATCTATATAGGTCCACAATATCGCATAGCCCCCATATAACGGTACCCCCACGGTATTCGGTGTTTTGATGATTTTAGCCACATTTTTCAATGGAATTGTCTGAAATTCCACAAAAGGAGTCCCTTGTGGACATTTTAACCCTTCAAAAAGAATTGTCCATATAGGTCCACGATATCGTATACCCCCATATAACTGTACCCCCCGATATTCGGTATTTTGATGATGTTAGCCACATTTTTCAATGGAATTGTCTTAAAATCCACACAAGTAGTTCCTTGTGAGTACTTTACCGCCTGAGAGAGAATTGTCTATACAGGTCCACGATATCGTATAGCCCCCATATAACGGTACACCCCGATATTCGGTATTTTGATGATTTTACCCACATTTTTCATCGGAATGGCCACAAGGGGTTCTTTGTACACAAGGGGTTCTTTGTGAGCACTTTACCCCCCGACAGAGAATTCTCTATATAGGTTAACAATAACGTATAGCTCCCATATAACGATACCCCACGATATCGTATACCCCCATATAACTGTACCCCCCGATATTCGGTATTTTGATGATTTTAGCCACATTTACCAATCGTATTGTCTGAAAATCCACACACGGAGTTCTTTGTGAGCACTTTACCCCTAAAACGGAATTGTCTATATAGGTCCACAATATCGTATATCCCCCATATAAGGGTATTTGGTATTTTGATGATTTCAGCCACTTTTTCCAATGGAATTATCTGAAAATCCACACAAGGAGTTCCTTGTGAGTACTTTACACGCAGACATAGATTTGTCTTTATAGGTTCACAATATCGTATATCCCCCCATATTGGCACCTTCCTGTATTAGATATTTTAAAGATTTAAAAAGAACTTTTAATGGATTTTATTTTTTTTTTTTGAAAATTTTCTAATTCGCTCCAAATGGTGGAGGGTATTAAAAGTTCGGCCCGGCTGGTTACTGCTTTTTTACTTGTTTATTAATAATTACGGGGAAACTTCATAAAATTCACAGCTAAAAAGTATCAGTCGGTTATTTAAAATACATTTTGACTTGCACTTTATTGAAATTGTTAGACCTTTATGGGGGAGGTTCGAAGGAGTTGGCCAATATTGTGCTTATTGTATCTGGCATACGTCCGAAGCTTGCTTCACTTGTATGAGCTTTGTGATCATTTTTTTTAATATTGAAATGTCCGTGAGGTAGCAGGTACAGTGCACCGAAGTATTCCACTTCAACTATTACTGATAAAAATATTAGAATATACAAATTAAAGAAAATCGTATATTTTTTCCAAATTTACTGCAAATAATTCTGTGTTTTGGGTTCGAGGAAGAGTGGGCCAAAATCACGTCAGATCTCTGGTTAAATATATTTACATATACCAAGTTTGAAAAGGATCGCTTACTAGTTTCGCAAGTTGTGAGGGATATAAGTTCTGAGCATTTTTACCCTTTGTGGGGCGGTGCCACAAGGCGTTATTAAAAATATTGGGATGTGTGCAATTTGCGGGATATAATTATTTAAGGAATATAATTATTCAAAAAGTCGACCAGTTGGGGGGAAGTACCAGATGGAGTGGTCCGACATATTCATCTTCACACGAGATCTTATGTTGATAGAAATATTGGGCTGTGCTGAGTTTGAAAATAATCAGACACTCATTTCGCGATTTATGATCATTTGAAATGTTGAAACCTTTGTGGGGGAGATACCAGAAGGAGAGTATCGATATTTACTATCTTCACGTCAGATCAAGTTCTAGTAGAAATATTGGGACGTGTAATATTTTTAAAGAATCTGGCGCTTATTTCGCATTTTATGAGTGTAGTAGATATTATAAATATTGACCCGTTAGGGAACGTACAAGATAGAGTAGTCTATTTTGATATGAACAATTTTGAATATAATTGGATACTCGTTTCGTCTTATGAGCTTTATGGTTGTTCAAAATTTTGACATGTTGTAGGGAAGTTACTAGAAGGAGTGGTCCGTTCGTCATGCCAGATCTTGTGTTGCTAGAGATATCGAGATGTGTGAGAAGGACTCTCCAGAAGGAGACTCTCTCTACCAGAAGGAGTAGCCGGATATTGTCTATGAACCAAATCGGTTGGTCCTTTCTTGTTTTATTAGGTAATATATTTTGCGGTACATTTTTGTACTTTTGTGGGGGAGGGCAAGAAGGAATGGACCGATATTGCCTAACTCCGAACTCGATCTAAGTTTGATAATAATATTACGATGTGACAAGTTCGGGCTAAATCGGATACTCCTTTCGAGAATTATCGTGCGAACCAGGCAGACAGACGGACGGGCGGAAGGACACCCCTAGATCGACTCCAAATATCCTTAAACGGATTTGGGGTCTAAACCCGTTATTTCGATGAGGCACGCTTATTTTTCAAAAAAATAAAAGCAGTTAAAAATTATTTTAAAATCCTAAAAATACCGAATGTAGACGTCTATACGACGACGTGGACCTGCATAGGCAACTTTTGTCATAAGCCATTACAATATTCAAATGCGAAACTTGAAAAAAAAAACATTCTACAATTTCCATACATCCCTCGTAAAACTCAACCGTTTTGTATAAAAATTGTGACTATCATTATTACTGCCCTTGTAATTAATATTCCCACGTTGTACCATAAATTAAAAGCCACCGATTAATCCTGACAATGTTAAAGCAGAAAATATAACTTCCTTAACGTGGTAGCAACCACCGACAGCCCGTTTACAGTCTTAACTAGTGGCACATGACCAAGGATTCTAGCCAAAGTAGCAATGCAAGGACCAGCAACGAATGTTTGTCCAACGATTTCAATATTCCTCCTTTGACCATTTTATTTTGTTGTTTATTTGGTGTAGGTGTATTTGTTTCAAGAGGAATAATTTCATACTGCATGCCATTGTTTAAAAAGTGTAATTGTTTTATGTTTTCACTGAACAAAATGGGCATATTGTTGGGATAGTAATATATATGATAATGGAGACAGAAATTTTATATATGAATTACTTTTTTTCCCCTATTGTCGTGGTGATGTCTTAACATTATTCAAATTATGTGGATATTCCAAAAAACGTGGATTTTAAAACATTTTTTCTCAAGGACCCAATAAACGTGGATATTTTAAGAAATTTTTTTCAAGGACCAAAATAAACGTGAATTTTTAAAGAATTTTTGAAGGATCAAAAAAAAAACATGGATTTTTAGTAGATTTTTGCTCCAAGACCCACAAACAAACAAACGTGGATTTTTAAAGAATTTTTGAAGGATAAAAAAACATGTAGTTTTAGTAAATTTTTGCTCCAAGACCCACAAACAAACAAACGTGGACCATTAAACGGGCTTTTTTTAAGGATTTGTTCTCAGGGGATCAAAAACCAATCAAGGCGGATTTTTAAAATACTTTTTCTCAAGGACCCACAGACCAATAGACGTGGATTCTAAATAATTTTTTTTGTCAAGGACCCACAGACCAATAAACGTTAAAAAACTGTTCTCAAAGACCCACAGACCAATAAAAGTGGATTTTTAAAGAATTTTTTCTCAAGGACCCTCAGACCAATAAACGTTAAAATTTTTTTCTCAAGGACCTACAGA